TATGACAGATGCATGATGTTTATGGCAGATTTATGACAGATGCATGATGTTTATGGCAGATTTATGACAGATGCATTATGTTTGACAGATTTATGACAGATGCATTATGTTTATGGCAGATTTATGACAGATGCATTATGTTTATGGCAGATTTATGACAGATGCATGATGTTTATGGCAGATTTATGACAGATGCATGATGTTTATGGCAGATTTATGACAGATGCATGATGTTTATGGCAGATTTATGAGAGATGCATGATAATTATGGCAGATTTATGACAGATGCATGATGTTTATGACAGATTTATGACAGATGCATTATGTTTATGGCAGATTTATGACAGATGCATGTTTATGGCAGATTTATGACAGATGCATTATGTTTGACAGATTTATGACAGATGCATGATGTTTATGGCAGATTTAATGACAGATGCATTGATGTTTATGACAGATGCATTATGTTTATGGCAGATTTATGACAGATGCATGATGTTTATGACAGATTTATGACAGATGCATTATGTTTGACAGATTTATGACAGATGCATGATGTTTATGGCAGATTTATGACAGATGCATTATGTTTATGGCAGATTTATGACAGATGCATTATGTTTATGGCAGATTTATGACAGATGCATGATGTTTATGGCAGATTTATGACAGATGCATTATGTTTGACAGATTTATGACAGATGCATGATGTTTATGACAGATTTATGACAGATGCATGATGTTTATGGCAGATTTATGACAGATGCATTATGTTTATGGCAGATTTATGACAGATGCATTATGTTTATGGCAGATTTATGACAGATGCATGATGTTTATGGCAGATTTATGACAGATGCATTATGTTTATGACAGATTTATGACAGATGCATGATGTTTATGGCAGATTTATGACAGATGCATTATGTTTATGGCAGATTTATGACAGATGCATTATGTTTATGGCAGATTTATGACAGATGCATGATGTTTATGGCAGATTTATGACAGATGCATGATGTTTATGACAGATTTATGACAGATGCATGATGTTTATGACAGATTTATGACAGATGCATGATGTTTATGACAGATTTATGACAGATGCATGATGTTTATGACAGATTTATGACAGATGCATGATGTTTATGGCAGATTTATGACAGATGCATGATGTTTATGGCAGATTTATGACAGATGCATGATGTTTATGGCAGATTTATGACAGATGCATGATGTTTATGGCAGATTTATGACAGATGCATTATGTTTATGGCAGATTTATGACAGATGCATGATGTTTATGACAGATTTATGACAGATGCATGATGTTTATGGCAGATTTATGACAGATGCATTATGTTTATGACAGATTTATGACAGATGCATGATGTTTATGGCAGATTTATGACAGATGCATTATGTTTATGGCAGATTTATGACAGATGCATGATGTTTATGGCAGATTTATGACAGATGCATGATGTTTATGACAGATGCATGATGTTTATGGCAGATTTATGACAGATGCATGATGTTTATTGCAGATTTATGACAGATGCATGATGTTTATGGCAGATTTATGACAGATGCATTATGTTTATGGCAGATTTATGACAGAGGCATGATGTTTATGACAGATGCATGATGTTTATGGCAGATTTATGACAGATGCATTATGTTTGACAGATTTATGACAGATGCATGATGTTTATGACAGATTTATGACAGATGCATGATGTTTATGACAGATGCATGATGTTTATGGCAGATTTATGACAGATGCATGATGTTTATGGCAGATTTATGACAGATGCATGATGTTTATGGCAGATTTATGACAGATGCATGATGTTTATGGCAGATTTATGACAGATGCATGATTTTTATGACAGATGCATGATGTTTATGGCAGATTTATGACAGATGCATGATGTTTATGGCAGATTTATGACAGATGCATGATGTTTATGGCAGATTTATGACAGATGCATTATGTTTGACAGATTTATGACAGATGCATGATGTTTATGGCAGATTTATGACAGATGCATGATAATTATGACAGATTTATGACAGATGCATGATGTTTATGGCAGATTTATGACAGATGCATTATGTTTATGACAGATTTATGACAGATGCATGATGTTTATGACAGATTTATGACAGATGCATTATGTTTATGGCAGATTTATGACAGATGCATGATGTTTATGGCAGATTTATGACAGATGCATTATGTTTGACAGATTTATGACAGATGCATGATGTTTATGGCAGATTTATGACAGATGCATGATAATTATGACAGATTTATGACAGATGCATGATGTTTATGGCAGATTTATGACAGATGCATTATGTTTATGACAGATTTATGACAGATGCATGATGTTTATGGCAGATTTATGACAGATGCATTATGTTTATGGCAGATTTATGACAGATGCATTATGTTTATGACAGATTTATGACAGATGCATGATGTTTATGGCAGATTTATGACAGATGCATTATGTTTGACAGATTTATGACAGATGCATGATGTTTATGGCAGATTTATGACAGATGCATGATGTTTATGGCAGATTTATGACAGATGCATGATGTTTATGACAGATTTATGACAGATGCATGATGTTTATGGCAGATTTATGACAGATGCATGATGTTTATGACAGATGCATGATGTTTATGGCAGATTTATGACAGATGCATTATGTTTGACAGATTTATGACAGATGCATGATGTTTATGGCAGATTTATGACAGATGCATGATGTTTATGGCAGATTTATGACAGATGCATGATGTTTATGACAGATTTATGACAGATGCATGATGTTTATGGCAGATTTATGACAGATGCATGATGTTTATGACAGATGCATGATGTTTATGGCAGATTTATGACAGATGCATGATGTTTATGGCAGATTTATGACAGATGCATGATGTTTATGGCAGATTTATGACAGATGCATTATGTTTATGACAGATTTATGACAGATGCATGATGTTTATGGCAGATTTATGACAGATGCATGATGTTTATGGCAGATTTATGACAGATGCAGGATGTTTATGGCAGATTTATGAC